GCTGGCGCCCGCAGAAGACGGCCGGCTGGTTCCGGTTCGTCGAGGGTAGGGTAGTTTGTGTTTGTGTGCTTTGCGGAGGGGGGCTTTCTTTTTCCTGGGTTTCCCAGGGGCTTTAGCGTAGGCGTTTTTGTGCTTCTTCCATCCGTCACGGAGGCACCGAATGCTGATATCACCATCTGAGCGTTTCTCGGCTCACACACAAGAAATTTGCTCGCCCAGTGACCTCCGCCAGAATTGGTGAAATTAGCTTCCCGGAATACGGAATCCAACGTTGTAAAGGTTGGTACCCTTAGCCACTGCACCAGGCGACGTGGAACTCAGTTGAGTGTTCAGTTTGGCGTGCTCACTATATATATATCATGTTCGAAAAACTTACAAGGCGTCGAGAAGAGGCAGAAGGGTAGCGAATGTGGTTTTAAACCTTAAACTTACAACCCAAACTTCATCACACAGACCCAAGACCCGCTTCTGCACTTCTTAAATCTTCCGCCGTAGTACAGGCGGATAATAGCTGCACGGACTTCTCGGTAGCACGTGGGCATATCAGGGACTTGGTCTGGGCCAACGACCATGGTACTGATGGCGCACGCCGCCCAGGGTAAAAAGCGAGCTCAGCGATAGTTAGTCCGGTACAGTGGCGGATAAAGTGGAGTATATAGATCCACTCGGCCGTTTCTTTTCTTATCCAGCTTAGTTTAATGGTTTACTGCATATGACTTCTAGACAGCGCTTGTGGGATAAAGCGTACGGATGACAAAAAGGCGATGGTTCCTTCTGCAACGGGCCCAGCTTATCTTGCAGGGTCTTTCCCAAGTAGTATGATTGGGCGAGTGATGCGGGTGTTCCAGTGTTGAGCGCTTGATCAGAACCGCGACTGCCGTAGGGTACTTAAGGCAGTCGCCGCCCACTTCGGATAATCAGTATCGACAACTACCTTGCAAATTTCGCAACGCAGAAGCATCAACCACAATGGCTTCTGGAACTGATCCAAGCACGTCGGGCGAAGCTGCGGACCTCGCACCCTCCTACGCCTCCGTACTCTCCGAAGCCGTCGGCCTCGCCCTTGACGCCGAGTTCTGCCCCGCCACCGCTCCCAACCTTCGCAATGTCGTCAGTCTCGCTCGGTTCTTTGAGTTCGTTCTCACAATCGACTATGCGCCCTACTCCTCGCACCGTCGCGTTGGCCGCGTAGGGCTGTCCGACTTGGATGTCCGGCTCATATTCGAGGTCGGCGAGAACCTTGCCAGGGCACGCGTCAAGTTCGAGAACAGGATCGCCAAGCCCTACGATGCAGTGCACGGGGAGTGCCGGGACTGGCATGACCTCATCCACACTCAGATGTTTGTGGGAGACTGCTTCGAAGGTGTGGAGGACCAGAAGCTGTTCCTCGACCGGATAGTCATCCCGGCGCAGGCGCTCGGCATACCGCTGGATTATGCCGTCACTACTATATGGCGCTTCATCACGGGCGTAGGCACGTACGGTACCTATACCGGAAGCTTGAAAGAAGTACTCGCTAGGCGAGGCGTCGAAGGGTTGGCGCGCAGGCTCTGGGTTGATCGTCACGTTGTGATACCACGGTTGCCCGTCAGCAAACGGCGCCTGTTGATGGACGGCCTGAAAACGATACAAGGGTTATATTTCTTAGCTCTGGATGGCCCCAGTTTTCATGCGAACTCCGCTTGGGGACGAGACGGATTTGGGCGCAGTGAGCTGAAGTTCAAGGAAATGGCGTTAACGGAGACAGGGAAGCGCTGCGAGGAAAACATACGGGTTACGCGCGAGCAGGTGGACAAGATGCACGTCGGAAAGGAGGGAGAAGAGGAAAGAGTGTCGCAGGCCTGCGTTTGGGATGCCGATGAAGCATTGCTGATAGCGCAGAGGATACGGGAGAGTGGCGGCCCAATGCCCCCATCCCTAGAATCGAGGAAGAGGCCAGAGGTGAAGTTAGTGCTAAAAGAAAGGCGGAGAAAGTACTTTGGGCGCCCATGGAAGCTTCTGTGTAACTACATGGGATCAAAAATTCAGCTCAGATATCACTTTATACGTCGATGAAATTCTCTCCTTGGTGATTCATGTGCCCAAACCGTCCATAACGAGAGCACAGGGTCTAGCTGCTATTTAGGTACATACATCAAAATGCAAGTCATGATTCAGCTGCATGTCTGTGTGGAAGGTCGGGATAGTTGTTGAATTCTGCTCCATGTTGTTCACTGTGTTTCCGTTTCAGGACAGTGAAGGCCCGTTGCGTCAGGCGCGGCGCATGCAAGGCCTCGCTGCGAAACTCTCATTCTCAGTAACAGAGGTGATACCGGGACATGAAGCTGCAGTTTACCTGCTGGCGTAGCCGACTTCCCTGGGCGTGCAGGCAACGGCGCGTTCCATTGCATCGGTAGAGAATGAATAGGGCAATTTCGCCGCAGGGCTTTGCATTCTGGTGTTCAATCAGCTCTCGATGGTGTTGGTGCTGGTCAGTGCCTTCCGCCAGTTTTCTGTGCAAGGAAGGCAGGCGCATCCGCTGTCATGGCCGCTGCCCAAGTCGTCCGCTGCTGGCCCATGAGGAAGGAGCACTGCAGCTTCGACAGGTATATCTTTTCTTTCGCACTCTCTCCTCTCTCTCTTTTCTCTTTAGCACGAGGCTCACACCCATTCCGTACGTAGGGAGACCACATCAGGCTTCATGTTCCTATCCAACCTCGAGAATCTTTGCTAACTTCGTGATATCTTCTAGGCCTCCACAGCACCAACAACAACAACACAATGCCCCCGCTGCCCTCCGCCGCCGCCGCCACCATCACCACCACCACGATAGTCATTCCGCTGCTTGTCAGCGCCGCGCTCAGCGCGCTCGTTGCCTTGTTGGCAGTGTTCGTGCCGCTAGCTGACCGCTGGTTCCAGCGGCGGCAGATCGCCGCCGACAGGGAGGCCACCGCCGCCGAAAGGCGCGCTGTAAGTCAAACTTGAATGCAACATTTTTACACAGAGGATTTTTCTCATTTTCGGGTGGTGTTTCTCTGGCGCTAATTGAGTGGCAGTGACAGCCATTTGGTCTCATTGGCTCTCAGAGACGTTCAACGACACACAACGACATTCAACAGCTCCTCTAGAATGGCTGCGGCTGCCCCTAGCTCCGTCGACGTGTTCGATCGGGGCAAGCGCCTGGAGTCGGCTCGCATAAACGGGTATCGCTGCAAGAGCCCCTGCGCGAAGTACGTTAAAGTCGGCGATTGGTGCACCTTTCCCAGCATCTTGACGGAGGAGTTCCTCGATGGCCGCGGTGCGAAGTGCTTGAGTTGCGAGAGCTTAGCTGGCTAGGATTACCTCTAGGTGAGGTTTATTAAGACTTATTAAGAGCATTTGACTAATAATAAGTGTAGCTGCCTTCTAACTTCCCGCCTTTCCTTACTAAGCGCATCTCTGCCGCCGTGAAGGATGAAGATGAGGCCGCGTACAAGACTACGTGTGCCCAGGCTAAGCCGTGGCTGAGGACCAACTTCCCGAAGGAGCGTGGTGTCCTTCGCTTGCACATGGGTGGCGACCAGGCTCGTCAGGATGGTTCCAAGAGCGGACAGGGCAAGGGCAAGGAGAAGATTCTCGTAAGTTGAATTTTAATTGCATTCATTGAATTTTAACTGATGTTATTGTGCAGCAGCGGTCGGCTTCGCGTGCCAATCTCTCGGAGTCGTCGTCTGGTGGTGAGCTTGCGGCTCTTCGCAAGCGCGTCAAGGTTAATGTGCGTAAAATATGTAGAGGCGACGACACGAAATGCGTGTCGAGGCGGTCCTTCGGGTATGTTCCCTATACAGCAACATCAACTTCATGTTTTTTACAGTGCTAACTTGCTGTGATAGGACATTCTTGCCGCCGCCACCATCGCCACCACCACCACCGCCGCCGCCGCCACGCCGCCCGGACGGCCCAGGCTTTAAGATCCCTGACCCGGGCTTCGGATCGGGGGCGAGTCTGAACGGGGACCTGAGCTCCTTGACAACTACCAATGCGGAGCAGGTTCGCCGCAGGATCGACAGAGATACCCTCAGGGCCCAAGATGTCGACACCCAGCAGTATGGCTCCGCCGCAATCGTCGACCAAGTGAATTTCGCGAATAAACTCGGCCCGAACCCAAGATCCCTTAAGAAAGGCTGCATGGTACCCTGGCTTCTCTCTTTTCTATGAGAGGGGTTTGCTTTTTAGAACGTGAACAGGCTTTTTCCAAAAATTCATCGTTTTTTTGCTCTGTCTCAAATCTGCTACGCTCTGAAGCTGGGTTCATCCCATCTTGTTGGTCCTATTGTGCCCTTGCTGTACACTGCCGCCCATACAATCCACCTCGGCACTTTTCTCTTTCTACACATCATGGCCAGCAGCAACGCAACGGTAACAACCACACTCAACATGAAGTTGGCTGGTTCGCTGCCAGCATAGTCGCAGCCAGCGCTGGTCGGGCTGATGACGACGACGACGACATATGGTGAGATGGTGATTCAGGGCAAGACCGCTGTAAGATGGGCTTCGGCCCATTAGCGGCGCTGTCCAGACGTGTCTCCTCTTCCCGGGAGTGAGAGGGATCCTCTTGGACGGCCTTGTCCGTGACGGTCGAGATCATGTCCTGGCTCGGTGGGGGCTGGTGGCAGTGCAGTTTCGTGATGGAAGTCCAGGCAACTGTTTTGAATAGAACCAGGTTGACCGGGGATAGGGTTGAGCTCGCTGTAGGCCTTATCCTGCCCGGAAGTCTCGTTGACTTGGCAGACCGGACAGTGGTCGTTCCCGCCTCCCTGTCGCTGCCCGCCCGCGCGTCTGTGGCTGCCCGCTACCATTGCCTTTGCCGCAGCAGTCCCCTTCGCGCTGCCCGCCAACCGCAAACGCAAATGTACCACCGCCTGGTCTCTGCCGCTGGAAAGTGTCGAGCTGTTCGAGGATGGTAGAACCCTGGCAAGCTTCCACTATCTGTGGCTCTTCAAACAGGAAGTCGAGAGGGGAGCCCCGGACGAACTTTTTATGCCGGTTTCCAAGGTGCTTGGTCAATCAAGAGCGGTGACAATCACCGAATCTTCCCCAATCATTTCTTTCCTACCGAACTCGTAGTAAGCGACTTACGCATCCCCGAAACTGCAACTCGGCGGAAGTGCTCCAAAGCAGGAACAGCGATTGAGCAAAGGAAGAGATGTGTCACGGGCGCCCGGCTGTTTCTTGTATTCTGGCTTTTGCGTCAGCATCTTTTCTTTCTTTCTTTTTGTTTCCTAAGCGGCATCAGGTATACTCCTTGTTGCTGCCTCCTGACTTTGTCGTGGTGGTTCCAAACCTCCGCGGAAATGGTTGTCAGGCTTTGGTTGCGTTTCTGTGGCCAGTTGAGGCAGTTGCGTTTTGTAGACGGGGAAATGAAGGTCCTTTTTCTCGTTTGGAAGCATACCTTCTTTTGTGCTCTGATACTGTGGTGGTGGAGAGCCGATGATACCATGCAGGGCAGGGTCTCTGGACTCTGGACTCTGGACGCGGGAGTGGGAAGAGGCTTGCCAGAGGTTTGGGGCCCGAACGAAGTATGGTTTAAAGTAGTTTCTTTAGCCAGCTATGCTAGAACCAACAATAAAAACGACTCTCCTTCATCTTCTCTCTTACCTCCCTGTTGTCTGTCTCGCCTCTCGTCTCGCCTGCTACGACGTGTGGTTGCTTCGACCGATCATCCAGGGTGTTCACCATACGTCCTGCCCTTCGTCAATACAATCCGCCGTAGACTTGCCGGTCGACCTGCGTGTACCATCGTTAGCTGGGACACCCGTTCCTCCAAAGTGAACTTCCCGAAGCTGCCTCCGTGGTCTTCCTTCATCAACTCCATTCACCCAAGCCCCGTGTAAGGACCAAAGACTCGAGCGGCTGCTTAGACCTGTAAAGCTGAGGACTGCATGACCTGTGTGCAGTGGCTCATAGTCAGTTGACTTCCGCCCTCGAAAGGAGCTTGGTTTCCCCGCGACGGCCAGGTCTGTACATCCCCTCAGGCTGTCGCCATCACATGTCAGCCTGGCCACACTGCTTTTCCCGGCCTTTCCATCCTCTGCCGAGGCTTCCGCACTCTGTTCATAAATTTTATGCCGACGCAAGCTGGTTGAAGAACAAGTGGGACCGTCGTCGTGGAGGAACTGCTGCTGACCTCACATGCAAGTTTATCGCCGACCTGCAGTGCCGTGCTCCATTTATTCCCCATTTAAAACAGCTGGCTACGCGATTTTCTAAGCGAACCGGCTGTTGAAGATAAGGACATCGTTTTAGCCGTTCGTCAGGTATTGTATGTATACCAGACTGAAGAGGTCAGGACCCGTTTACAGCTGCTGGACAGCAAATCTCGTCTATATATTCATCAACTGCTACCACATTTTCCATCAAAGCAGCATCGGGTCTGTGGTTTAGTGGTATAATACTCCCTTAGCATCGAAAACCCCAATTAAAAACGGGGCTAATTATGTATGGGAGTGGTCCGGGGTTCGGTAAATATTCCCAGGTTCGAATCGCATTGACAGCAAATTAATTCTTAACAGATTCCCCGCGGATCCATCATTAACTGGTTCAATTCCGGTATTATATCTTTTTTGTTTTGCCTGGACATTAATAATTGGAAACTTGTACAGGTGGGTATTGCAGCGGAAGGCTAGCGTCAAGTGATTTTTTTTTGCGATCAATGCGACTTTGACCTATCATACCCTTAGGATACGACCAGGGCCACGTTTTCTTTGCGAGTTGATGTAGTTCTGACTTATCGTGCCACATTAAAAGTACCGCCAGGACCCCCGGTACGAAAAACCCACAATCTTCGCGCTAGCCTTCGGCTGCGAGAGGGAGCTGTAGACCGGGTGCTGGCCCGGGTTCGATTCGATTCCCGGCGGATGCAGCGAATCCCATAACGGGGTTACACCTTTTTTGCTTGCGGTGTGAAGAGGAGAAGAAAAGGGGAGGTTTGGTGGTGTTGGTGGTGTTGAGGGCAGCAGAAGCCCGAGGGGCGAGTTTTTGATTGTTGTTTTTGCTGCAACACCAAGGCTCGAAGGCAGGCGAGCTCGGGCAAGACAGATGTGCAGGAGATCGGCAAGCTGGAGCGTGGGCTGTTGGGCGGATGCGACGGTACAGAAAAATTTTTGCGGGGGCCGAGTCGGCTCGGAGGCCAGACCCGCTAGCGTCCCTAGCGTCCCGGCTGCGGCAACGCTAGCGGGAAGCGCTAGTGCCCGAAGCGGCCGAATCTGCCGATGGTAGCCGAATGCGACTACGACGCGCGAAGAAAAAGGAGGGACGAAACGCGGTTGCAGGCAGCCTCGAGGGTTGCGGAGGGTGAAAATGACAGTTACTGTGGTATGAAAGAGTATCTCCGTTATCTACTATCTAATAATTCCTCGCACGCACAATGATAGGTCCTGTCTTGCCGCAGCGCCCGCAGCGCCTTTGCGAAGTCGTGCCGCCACCTGCGCGCAACCTCTTTACGATCTTTTTACCTTCCTCATATCTACCAGCGTCCTTAGGAGCAATCGATCGGAGCACTCCTCCAATGTCAAATGTCCATGATTCTGTATACTCCCTTTTGCGACTCCCACGATTTATGACTGCCTCATTTGTTGTCCCGGTCGTTGTCGCCAACTCCGACAACCCAACCACCAGGTGTTGTCCTCCTACCAGGGTAGATATGTGATTCTTGCCCACGGAGATGATCACAGGCAGTATGGATAGTTTGCTACCTGTAAGCAGATGAGAAAACGGACCGTGGGAATCCGTCAAGGTTCATGTCGAAAGCATCTTTGACGTCTTGGTGAGCGTGGTCTTCGTACACATTTCCAACTCTGGGACAGTTGGCGGTAACTGCAGCAGCTGAAATAAAGAGTCCGTTTACCATCGTTTACCATGTAGCGGGCCAAAACACCTTTGGAAAAGGCCTTGGCTGCTGCCAAATTTGCGGTGGGGAGGACAAGAAAAGAGATCAATGCGGCCATGATGATGAGTGATGTATGAGAGGTTGTGTCCTTGATGTCAGTATCAACGTGTGTAGGATCGCATCTCGTACAGCTCCTCAAATGCTCATACTCTCCTCCATAACCACTGACTTGACGGATGTCGGAGTCGTGGCTAGCGGGTTCCGTTGAGGCAGCAATACCATCTGGGCTGACGAAGACTCGTTTTTGTCCAAGGGTGGATATCATGGACTCGAGGAAGTGAGAATTTCTCACGACTATGCCTGTTTGCCGAAGTTGGTAGTCCACGGTAGTTCCAGTTAAACCCAAGACTTGTGGTTGCAGTCGTGAGAAGGATTCACATCTTGTACCATCTCCCTCCTACCAGTCGCTTGCAGAAACCATGCGGCGTGCTCGGCAAGCTGCGGACGAAGAGCAATTGCGGCGCGGAGGGTCGGTGTTGCCACCGTGAATCTAGGCGACAGTACACCTAGCCAGGCCATGGCTTGGCGTTCACGTTCTTCGTAAACATGCAGAGTTGACTATGCTAGAGTGAAGTGTTTCTTGATACGTACGGGACTCATTTTCTGGTAATAGATATGATATTTGTGCAGCAAAATTGAAATTGCCCCCGCTACCAGTCTAGAACGTTCTTGAGGATGGCTGCGCGTTGTTCAATGACTGGTCTGTCCGATACGCGAGCATCGACACAAGCATGTTCGGTGGCTCCCACTCGGGTGACCTCTGGGTCAGCGACAGAGACCCCGCATTGTCCCATTGTGGCTGACGCAGCGCCGTAAAGATGGGCCGATAACGACGTTTCTACAGAGATTTGATTGACCCGAGCTGCATGTTCGTTTTCGTGATGCCGAGTCTCGATATGGTACGGACTGTTAGCCGTTTGGATTGTCAGCCTGAAGAAACAAGAGTGAACGACTTGACAAGCTTCCACGCAGTAGAATGTTGGACAAAGGGTCGAATTTCGCCATGGATTTTTGAGAATCCGCGCTTTTGCGCATCGAAAAGCAAACGGGATCGAAAGACGGCTCTCGAACTAGGGCGGCTTAATCTAACAGTGTTTCCGCTTCGTGTTGCACAGAAAGGCGCGATGCAAGCTCGGGCGATAAGGCAGGCTTGGCCTCGTACCGGAAAATCACGACCTCCTGAGGGGAGCGCAGGCAGTTCGTTCTTGCTTTCGCAGTGACGCGATGGCGTGTCGGGTGCCGACCGGAGGCGGCACTTGGGCCGGCGAGCTTGCGTTGGCGCGGGTGCGGCGGGGCAGAGGATGCGCAAGCGGCTGCTGGATGGAGCAAGAATGCGACTGCACAGCCTCGCGGGGAGCACGGGCAGGCGTGTCAGAAGGAGTCCCGGCGCGAGGTGAAACATGCGATGGCAGAAAGCGGCGATGTCGCGAATCTGGGATTGCTATTCTCAGCTGGTGCGGCCCGCGGTTTGATTGCGGCACCCGCGCTAGGCCTGTTCCTGGCGAGGGGCCTCCCGCTAGCTGCTGGTCCTGCTGGTCCTGCTGGTCCTCGCTTGCGCATCCTCTGCGCCCACGCCCGCTCGACTGCCTCGCTCGTCTGTGATCGCCCTCCGTCCGCTTCTGCCGTTTCGAGATCTGTCAGCCTGTGGCCTCGGCCGTACATTACTGCTCCATAACCGTCCAACTGCTCGCTGGAGGGACCCGCCTCGGCTCTGCGCCACTGCCCGATTGCGCCAGCCCGATGCCTCTTCCGGCAGCCGTCGCTTGGTGAGTCGCGCGACAGAGCCTCCATCATGCACCCACGCGTCTTGGCGTAGCTTCGGTCGACCATGGTGCCCTGTGCCCTGGGGGGGGGAGCTTCCTTTGCACGTCCCCGTTCTCGACACAAGTCCCGGAGCCGCTTCTCAACTTCTCCCACACCTAGGTACTCGCTCCACACCGGCGCCGCCCGATGCCCTCTTCCGGACCGCCCTTCTCGGTCTGGCAGACCGCTGAGGTGCGCGCAGTGTCTGGTGTCGTTCGGAACTCGCTCTCTTCCTGGCTCCCTCTTGATCCAATAATGCGGGGGCATTGCTGCATTCGACTGGCGCCGCATCCCGGGGTCTGCGCGTACACCTGCCCACCTGTCAGGACACTTAAAACGTTTCAGCTATAGCCAAGCCTTCGAAACGACTCGGTTGATCTCCCAGTAGCCTCTTGGGGTCCTCTGCGCGAGCGCCCTCCCTAGTCACCCTACTATAGAAGGCAATACCCGCCATGCCGACTCGTGAGGCCCTTGTTCGCCCCTCCCGTATCCCTCCGTCGGTCCTGCCGCTCTCTTTTCTCCCTTGTCGAGTAGAGCTCGACTGTCTCTGTTCGCATTGTCGTTCTTTCTGTCGCCCAATCCCCTGCCCGCCACTCTTTTCACCCCGCTGCTATCCCAACATCTAGCTGCCCCGCAGCACGACGATCTTTTGCAACCTCTACCGCTTATATCTAATACTAATCATGGGTGGCTTTGCGAGTATCGGCTTGGTCTGGAAGTTCTTGTGCGTGGTCCAAAGCACCGCCTCCCCTACCCGCGCTGACGTCGTTTGCAGTATCGTTTTTGCGTGCCTGCTCGTGCTCACAATCCTTGCTGGATTCTGCAAGCTGCTCTACAGCAGACAACAGTAGGCCTCCGCTTTCCGGCCCCGCCCCCGTCGCATTGCTCACACGTTCTCCAGGTTGAAGAAGCACATTGCGCTCAAGAAGCAGCAGACGACAGCGGAGACGGACAATCTAGCCTTGAATGATAGAGAGAGGGACGAGGGCGATCTTTTTGGAATCAGGGCATTGGAAGCTGGATACTATGGCGGCGTCGCCCAATCTCGCCCGACCTCTCCCACCGGATCCTCAATGCGTGCCTCTTCCCGGCATCCTTCCGTCAGCACCAACACTTTGATCGGCAGCGCCGTTTCTCAGACACCAAAGCTTATCTCCCCCGCCACCAGCGTCACGCATCTGCCTCATGGCACAAACGCTTCTGGAGATGCTGCTCCCAAGCCACCGTCGTCGCCGCCGCGCAGGAACGCGCAACTCACCTTGAGGCTGGAGCCCTCACAAGCAGAGCTTACCGGCAGGAAGAACCACGGCGTCGTTGAAGTCGCCGCCCAGACGGAGGCTTCTCCCGGGGAGCCCGCATCTCCCACCACCCCCACCTCCCCCATCTCCCCCAAATGCGTATCCCGCCCCGACATGGAGCCCGAGTCTCCGATCATCCGCATATCGGCCGTGTCCAACGACCGTGGAGAGAGCTCCACGTCACCTGAACTTCTCCGCCCTGCCGTTTACCACCCAGAAACACCGCAGCTTCCCGTGGTGGAGACGGTGTCGCGCATCTCGTGGAGGCCTTCGACTGCCGATGACACGGCGGCAAATGCCAACTCGATGGCCGCCTCGTTGGATTACACCATGGGCGCTCCCTCGACGGGAAGCAATCCTTCATCGCCCGCGCGTGGCGCATCGCCGCTCCCGTCGCCCGTCAGGGTGTACCCGCAATCTTACATCCCTCGTCGTTCGAGAGACGAGGCGCGCTCGATTTTCCCCGCCGAGTCTCCCGAACCGCGATCGAGAAAGGGCTCCTTGTCGTCAATCAGGAGCCGTCGCGCTAGTATGCATTCTCCCTCTGACATGGCTGCCAGTGCACGTGACTTACCGGCATGGGTGTAGAAGCCGAGGACGAGGGAGACATCCCCGCTGTGCCATCTCTAGAAATCGAAGCCAACTTTTACATCCTCCAACCCTCCGTCTATGTGCCGCAACACAAGCGCGATGTGAGCGCATCGGAGAGCGCGTACAGCACCGACTCGCTGCGCCGCCGGTCGTCGGTCTCCAGCGCCGAGACGGTCACAGGAGAAGCATTGCCGGCCACCACCAAGTTTGGTCTCGAGCGCAGTGACAGCATGTCCAGCCGGCGCCATAGCATCGGGGCCAACTCGCTGATGCCCCCGCCCTCGCCGAATCCAGCGGGCACAGACCGGTTCAGCGAATTCTTCGACGCCTACTACCGGCATTCGCAGTCGATGGTCGGGTCGGAACCGAGCGTCGAGGCTGTGCGAGTGGAAACGTTGGCGATCCCGAGGCATTCGACCATCGTCGAGGTGCCAACGCCACTCGCGTCGCCGATGCCCGACAAGAAGCGCATGAGCGTGCGGGTTACTGAGGCCGAGGCGGCGTTCTGAGCGAAAAGCGCGCGGGAATCTCGACGCGCAGGAGCGGGCGAAGAAGTCGTGGATGCATACCACCGGGTGATTACCCCAGGCGTTTTCCTTTTTTTTTTCTTCGAGCGACATCATTGCGAGCATTCCCCCGGGCGTCCACAGAGTCTCGACGTCTTGCTCTTCTTTTCCTTGATGATTTTGATTCCCACCGAGTTCTCTTTTCTTTTTGCTACCCCCTCTCTCTCTCAAGACCGCGCAATATCGCTTTGCAGCGGCATCTCTTACTAGCCAGCCACCGCCTTATATGGCACGTACGGCCAATGATGCACACAGAAGAAGAAGATCAAGAAGACGGAAGTTGGAAGATTCAGGCACTTGTATATAGTAAGGTGCATAATAGTAATACCACGCTTTCTGCTGGGCGGTGGACCATGACTCTCGCGCCAAGGCGGATGGCGGTTTTATGAGGATGTGATGGCGGATAGACGAAGTGGGCTGCGAGGCGTTGAGATGGCGGCACAATGGGCTGACCACCACGTGTTTGTGGTGAAGATGGCGCCGTGCTCCCCCCGCACTCCAGCAGCTGCTGCACGCTGAGCTGTGCGACCGCCGGGGAAGAGGTGGCCGCTGCTGTGCCGCCCGCCACCGCACCGCCGCGGCCATGGGCAGCCGGCGGGTTCCTGGCGCGGTTCCTGCATGTGAAAGCGCGGCCGGCTCACCGCCCTCAGCGACGCCCGCGCGCCCCTGTCCGCCTTCGCTCTGGTTGCGCCACCCGATTCCCCATCATCATGACCCTGGCCCAGCAATCGCGAGACCTCTCGACGACTTTTTTTTTTTTCTCTTCTTCTTTCCTCTTGCGCTCGTCCCACCAATCTTATCTGCTTTAATTGATCCATTGGGACTGGCCGCATCCGATTTTTTTTATAATAAAGCTCGGGGTCCCTGCAGCAATTTCTGGGCCAACAAAAACGCCCTCGGCTGATCCTCTCGACGTCTATTCGCTCCCTCGCGCCGCCTCGAGAGATTCAACCTCAACCCGTCGACCCCGTCGACTCCTCCACCTTCCGCCTCGACGACCGCACCCACACCCGCACAACCCTCCGCGTGTGCGCCCCGCTGACCGACTCGTCTTTCCACCCTCCCCCTTTCCGACGACAAAAAGTCATTACATCACCATCGTCGCCTTCCGCAGCAACAGCAGCAGCAGCGCCGCAACGCACCACCGCCGCCGCCGCCGCCGCCGACCGCATCACACACGCACGCCACTTCCACCACCGACCGCATCACGCACGCACGCCCACGCACAACCGCCCGCCCCCCACCGAAAAACAACCACAACACCACCACCACCACCACCACCCACAATGCCCCTCATCCTCGACGACACGGGCCCCTCCACCACCGCCCCCACCCCACCCTCCGGCACCGACCCCACGGCCCGCGGCCCCTACCACGACGAGCAGCACCGGCGGCGCCTCGTCCACCACGACGCGGACGTCGTCATCATCGGGGCGGGCGTGTTCGGCACCGCCGCGGCCGTGGCGCTCGCGCGGCAAGGGCGGTCGGTGATCCTGCTCGAGCGCTCGCTGCGGGAGCCGGACCGGATCGTGGGGGAACTGCTGCAGCCGGGCGGGGTGGGGGCGCTGCGGGCGCTGGGGTTGGGGGATTGTCTGGAGGGGATCGACGCCGTGCCGTGTTTTGGGTATGATGTCGTGTATTATGGGACGGGGGTGGGGATTCCGTATCCGAAGGAGGAAGGGGCTGGTGGGGGGAATGGCGGGAAGAGGCCGCAGGGGAAGGGGTTTCATCATGGGAGGTTCATTTCGAGGTTGAGGGAGGCGGCGGGGAGGGAGCGGAACGTGACGGTGGTGGAGACGGAGGCGAAGGATTTGGTGAGGAATGGGTGGACGGGGCAGGTGTTGGGGGTGGAGTGCTCGACGAAGGGGGAGAAGGATTATGTGAGTTTTCTTTTCTTTTTTTTTTTTGTGATCTACTGCTACATCGCGGCGTGGTTGGGGTTCGTTCGGGTTGGAGAGAGAGAGAGAGAGAGAGATTGCTGACGGGTGCAGTACTTCGGCCACATCACGCTCGTCGCCGACGGCTACGCGTCCAAGTTCCGCAAGTCGAACCACCCGCACCGGCCCGAGGTGCGCAGCAAGTTCTTCGCGCTCGAGCTGATCGATGCCGAGCTGCCCATGCCCGGCCACGGGCACGTCATCCTCACCGAGGGCCCGCCCGTGCTGCTCTACCAGATCGGCACGCACGAGACGCGCGCCCTGATCGACATCCCGGACAAGCTGCCCTCGGCCTCGGTCGCCGCCGGCGGCGTCAAGAACCACCTGGAGAACGTGGTGCTGCCCAGCCTGCCCAAGTGCGTGCAGCCGAGCTTCGAGGCCGCCATGCGCGCCGGCAAGCTGCGCTCCATGCCCAACTCGTTCCTGCCGCCCGCGACCAACCGCACCCCGGGCCTGGTCATCGCCGGCGACGCCCTGAACATGCGCCACCCGCTGACGGGCGGCGGCATGACGGTCGCCTTCAACGACGTCGTCTTGCTGGCCGAGCTGCTGCATCCCGACAGCGTGCCCAGCCTGGCCGACCACCACCTCGTGCTCAGGCAGATGAAGGCCTTTCATTGGCGCCGCAAGAACTGGGCCGCCGTCATCAACATCCTCGCGCTGGCGCTGTACGCGCTGTTCGCCGCCGACGGTAAGCTTCACTTTCCTCTCCTCCCTTTCCTTTCCTTCCTGCTCTTTTTTTTTTTTTTGAGAAGAGGAAGGAGACTTGATCAAAGCTCTAACGTCAATAAATCAAACACAGACCCCAACCTCAAGACGCTCCAGCTCGGCTGCTTCCGCTACTTCCAGCGCGGCGGCAACTGCATCGACGGGCCCGTCGGCTTGCTCGCCGGCATCATCCGCCAGCCGCTCATCCTCTTCTACCACTTCTTCTCCGTCGCCATGTACGCCATCTGGATCCGCGTGTCGGAGGCGCCGCTGCTGATGAAGCCGTGGGCGCTCGTCAGCAGCGTCGCCGTCTTCTGGACCGCCTGCAGGGTCATCTTCCCGTACATTTGGTGCGAGTTGAGGCCGTGAAACTGAAGAAGGGTTGTTTTGTTGTTGTTGTTTTGGGGATGATCAGAAAAAGAAGAGTGGAAATGAGGGGGAGGGGGGAGGGCAGCAGAGAGATGGGGAGCTTACTGCTGTCGAGACTTGTTGGGCTGCGCCCTGCCGTCGTCGTCGTCGTCGTCGTAGACGTCGTCGTCGGCGTATTCGACACGTACTGCTTTGCAAGACTTGCATGGTGTTTCTGTTCAAGAGAAAAGGCGAAGAGAGATGGAGATGAAAGACGAATTCTTGTTCATGGCTTTCGACGAAGTTTATACGTTTCGACGCTTGTATAGTACAGACGAGTAGTCTCTGTTTTGATGAATAGACCAAGTAATTTTTAATACAACTTTTCATTTCTTGGAAGACAAACCAGTCGCTTGAGAGATCCGAGTCTGGTTCCGGGTATGCGTCGCTTCCATTAGGATCACGTTCCTTCGGGGCGGGCTCGAGGTGCGCTATGGAGTTGACTAGGTGGATCCTCCAGTTCGGGGGTATGTCGACTTCGTAGGCCAGATTACTGACCTTGCGTTTAATAGGGAATAGGCCGACCCGTTGATGTATGAATTTTCAGTCCGCGTGTCCGAGGGCCTTGTATCCCTGATGGATCCTGATAAAGACCTTGTCACCTACCCATAAGCGTAACGGCTTGTGGTGAGCGTTATATCAAGTCTTTCAGTCAACAGCGGCGAAGGAGATGGCCTTCTAAGCCTTCGCCGCCTGGCGGCAAGGGGATCCATCCTTGGATTGGCTCTATAAAGGAGCTGGTTTGGGGAGAAACTGGTGGTCGGGTTGATGGCGTTGATGGCGTTGTTCATCGAGGCCTATAAAGGGGGGAGGACCGCTGTCCATTCGGTGTCGGGGAAAGTAGAGACGTGGTATCTAATAGCAAGCTCTACCGTTTGGTTCGTACGTCCGGCCTGGCCGTCGGCTTAGAGGTAATATGCGGTAGTCATGTACTGTGATATCCGCAACTTACAGCATACTTGCTCCCAAAAGAAGGAGGTAAACCGGGGGTCCTGTCCCGTAATCTGTACCCGGGGGAGCCCCTAGCCATTGGATAGAACCTTCTTAGCATATTGCTCCGCCCATTCGGACGCCATCCAATGTTCATTACCCTTCACGAGGAGGATTTTTTTTGCCACCTGCTTGCTTGTGCTTGTAAAAGAGAAATGAAAAAATGGAAGAAAAGGAAGTTGTTCACCCGTCAATGGAGAGTATGGGAGGATCAAGCAATGGCAACAGCAGGACGAATGCTGATTCCATCGAACAGTCAGAAGTATACATCAACCCGCCTAAATCGGTAGGGCAGACCACGGCCGAGAGGTTGCGGTTCAGCAAGTCGGGAATCCTGCTAGACAGCCTCATGCGTGCGCCGCCAATTGGCCACGACACTAACTTTCTTCGATTGGTTCTCACGCCACAGTCAGAGAATAAGTATGTAGTCTTGTTCCTATATGCTAATTTCAATGTCGTTTCTCGTGGTGGTCTGCCCGTGGAAAGCCCTACACCAAGTCTTCATCAAGCTTCTTTCCATCAAGTCCAACGACGCCTTACTATTCGCCTGGGCGAGTCCATATTCGGGTTTCTCGCTTATCCTTACGAGGTAGCGAAGGGGCCAATATGGCTCATAGACCTAACTGGGGCACTTCGGCACGCACTGACTGCTACAATGTGTGATTATGAATGACAATGCTGCTCTCGTCTATAATCACCTCCGGCTCAACCCGCCGCCAAGCTTCCGTCTCCCTTACAAAGCCTTGTGGCCATTCCACAAAAGCTTGCCTTGCGGTACACGCCCTTGGATGACATCATTTCACCTGGCATGCCAACCTCAGCCTTAACGACTGCCCCTTGAATGCCTTCCAGCCGCCGGGTACGTAGCCTCCTCTAGGCCACAGTCCATGACTGCTTTTTCCCGCGGACCCGAGAGGCGATCACGCTACGAGTGCCACATGCCCGGTGTGCACGGTCAAAGCCACCGCCGCCGCCACGGCTACACAGAGTCGATCGGGGCGATGCGGGAATTCCTGGTCCGCATACCACACCTCGACCCCCTCCTCTCCCCGGCGAAAGGAGGCAAAACCCGGGATCGCAGACACACCACGCCAGACAATGTTGCTCATCACGCGCATTACATGGCACACGGCAGCCCAGCTACACACCCGCGCCTGCATGTGAACCACAATCCCTCCACACCAATACACCCACCCACCCCCCCATCATCCCCGTCAGCGCCACACCTGGAAGGTCAGCCAAAATGGCTGTCTCACTCTCCCACCTTCCCCTTCCTTCCTTCTTTCCTTCCACCACATCCCTGGCGCAGACGGGTCGAAACGCGCTTATCGATCTGTGCGACCTCATCGTGCGACGTGCATATCCGAAAGCCAGGATCCGCCTGGGGTGGGCCGTCGAGCCGACGGGGGGGAGAAGAGCACAGAAGATTGGCCTTGGGACAGAAAAAGAAAAAAAGGAAAGCCATCCGTGGGCATGTGGCAACACAGAGGATTGTGGTAGGTGGAGGGAAAAATTGAAAATAGAAAAATAAAGAAAATTATTGCTTGTTCCACATCCACACACACACGCACACACACACACACACACACATACTCACAACTATCTCGCACACGCACACGTACACACACACACACGTATACATACACGCTCTCACACGGGTCGCACTGGCGGTACGACTGCAACGGAAGACGAATTTTGTGCGCCAGTTAATGGACGAGACTTTTGGCAAAAGAAAAAAAAAAGAAGGTCCCATATCTGGTAGGTCACTGGTTGAAGACTTCCACCCCCTTTTCGTTGTTTCCCTTTACTTCGTGCTTCTGCTGCTGTGCGTCTCTCGTCACCGATTCCCTGGCGTGGACCTCGCTTTTCAGCCCACACAAGACTTGAATCCCTCCCAATCGGCGATGAGTCCCATTTGGTGAACGGGCATGGAAGGCGGCCCAAGTCTTCCTAAAAGGGAAAGGAGGGTTGGTGTCCGCGACGCTCACCATGTTCGGCGGCTGGTGATTTCTGGCGCGGAGGAAACGTTGCACGGATTATGAGCCGCAAAGGACCGTGGCATGCATTCATTGGACGCCCGCCGGTGGTGGTCCACATCCTCCTCCTTCTCCTCTTACACTTCAATTTCCTTTCCGATTCCACGGCTGAGAAGTAGGCGCGGGGCGGACAGCTACTTCTCACAACTTGGGAACCTACCCGAGAGCAACCGGGGGGAGAGAAAGGCTCGGCCGCGGGCAGGAGTCTTGCATGCATGTGCGTATGGCGTTGTCTTGTTCTATTCCTTCTCTGTTTTTCCGTCTTTGTTTTCTTTTTCCAGACATGAAGCAGATCTGTATGTTTTGCATGTACTGTACTGCACGCGCGCGCAGGCCATAGCGAATCTTCGGCGCTCCAGTCGGTGGCAGGCGGGTGTACACATCAACAGACTGTAACCACAGAATCGATAGATCACGCACACGTAGACGCGTACGCAGGTCAGATCGATCGGACAGGCACAGGAAGGAAGAGGAGCGGTTCTGCACGCTGCAAGATGAGTCGGTGCGACGTGGTGGGGGGTTCGTCGGGGGGTGCGGGCGGATGGGCGGTTAAGCAAGGACGGCGATCCGACTTGACTAAGTCAAGAGAAACACAGCAGAAGGGCGGCGAGAAGCAGGCGGTTGGACGCAAGCCTCTGGCTCGCGCCTTCACTCACCGCTCTCGCCCGCCCCGTCCACACCGCGACTTTCGAGACAATTGGAAGCGCGGGTCAGACGAAACTGCGTGACGTTGAGAATTGGTCAATCCGCTTCGCTTAGTGCCGCGACTGGACCCTGATCCGAGTGCGTCATCGTTGATCCCCCTCCGCGGTTTGACTCGCGCTCGCTCGCCGCCGCGGGGCAACACCAACCTCACGATCCCTCCTCTCACACATCGCCCCTTCCAACGCCTTCACTTCCCCCAAAACCAACCCGCCCGTCACACAAACCATTGCCCGCCATGTCGGCTGCCGACGCCAAGATAGTCAAGACCGAGCCGCTGGTGCGTCACCCTTCCCCCGGCCCCACCTCAACCAGAAACACCAAGCAGCCCGAGCAGTCCCCTCCCCTCCCCCCACTCTCACGACAACGCACCGCTAACCAATCGCGCCGTGCCGCCCACAGGACCCCAAAGACGCCTGCTGGGTGCGCCTGGTAAAGTACGTACACACACACACACACACCGTCCACCAAAACCAACCAAAAAAAAAAAAACCAACACCAAAAAAAAAACAGAACAACCTACACCGACCCCACCTCCACCACGCGCGACTGGGAGTCGGCCGAGCGCCAGACGCGGCCCGCCGACTCGGCCGTCGACGGCGTCGGCATCGTCGCCATATTGCAGACGCCCGGCAGCGACGAGCCGCCGTCGCTGCTGCTCCAGAAACAGTTCCGCCCCCCCGTCGGCGCCGTGTGCATCGAGGTCCCCGCGGGCCTCGTCGACGCGGGCGAGACGCCCGAGCGGTGCGCGGTGCGCGAGCTCAAGGAGGAGACGGGGTATGAGGGGGTGGTGGTGGGTGTGGATGAGGGGTTTGGGGTGAGTCCGGTTATGTGGAATGGTGAGTTTGGTTCTTTCTTTTTTTCTTTTTTGGTCTTTTCTTGGAATTTTGAGGGCGGAGGACGGGTGGGCGGCCGGAGCGGAGAGCGGAGAGGGGAGAAGGAAAAGATCGAAGGAAAAAAAAAAAACCAAACAGATGTACGGGAAGAGGAAGAGGAGGAATAAGAAGAAAAAGAAGAAGAGGAAGAGGGAAAGAAAAAAAGCGATCGCCTCACACTCAAATCATCATCAACAACAATAACCATACTAACTCACTCGCCCCCCACCACCCCAAAGACCCCGGCTTCTGCAACACGAACCTCAACATGGTCCACGTCACCGTCGACATGACCAAGCCCGCCAACAAGAACCCCCAGCCTGAGCTCGAGGACAACGAGTTCATCGAGTGCTTCACCGTCCCGCTCGCCGACCTGTACGCCCGCTGCCGCGAGCTCGAGCGCCAGGGCTACGCCATCGACGCCCGCGTCGGCACGCTGGCCGAGGGCATCGAGATCGCGAAGAGGTGGAAGCTTTGAGTTTTTCGAATGGATATAAATTTTTATTTTGGCTGGCTGGCTGGCTGCACTTGATTATGATGATGAAAAGGGACGGACGAGACGGAAACAACTGGGCGGATGATGACGATGATGAAAGATTCCGTGGCATTAGAGATAGATCGGGTGGGGGGTGTGGAATCAGCATATATAGTGCATGCACCGGCTTAGAAGGAAGCAGCACTTCGTGGCACCTTTGATGAGAATGAGCATCTCTCATATTTGCTTTTCTACGTTGCTGCCTGCCCGTGCAGCACATGGCCTGTATATTCAAAGCAGACCGGGGTTTTTTTTTTCTTCTTCTTGTACCTCGGGACCAAGTTCGTATATATATATGTGTGTGTGTGTGTGTGTGTGTGTGTGTGGAAAAAGCTTTACCTCGAGCCTCTAGACACCAGCATATCGTCTTAAACCAACACCAACGCCAGCCGAACTAACCATTCGAAAGCCAAATGATAACTAGTTTTTTTTCTTTCCCTTCCTTCTTGTCATGATGGTTCTTAGTTCTTTGGATGATCTTACCAAGCAAAAACCCCAAATACGAGAGAAATCTTCATCATTCCCCAAGTTTCGCCATAACTTGCACACCAGAAATGAAAGATGACTGTCAAAAAGCGTCGAAAGAGAGAGATGGAAATCAGAAATCCTTGCCCTCGACGACGCCGTTCACGCCATTGGCGGTGAGGTTCGCCTCAGCCAAGAGCTGCTTGGTGATCTCCGGAAGGCACTTGGAGCTTGCGGCGACGAAGCCCAGGTAAGGCCTGCTGGGGTCGAGCACCCGGCTGAGGTACTCGGGGTGGTACTGGACGCCGACGAAGAAGGGGTGGTCCTTGAGCTCGATGATTTCCATGCGCTCGCCCTTGTCGTCCTTGCCGACGAAGTTGAGGCCGCCCTTCTCGAGGCGCTCGATGTAGGCCGGGTTGACTTCGTACCGGTGACGGTGGCGTTCGAGGATCTGCGGGGCCTCGCCGTAGAGCGCGCGCAGCTTGCTCCACTCGGAGCCGGGCTGGAAGAGGGTCGGGCGCAGGCCGAGCCTCATGGTGCCGCCCATCGTCTCTTTGTCGATTTCAGGCATGAAGATGATGATGCGGTCCTCGGCCTTGGCGTCAAACTCCTCGGAAGTCGCGCCCGTGATGCCGCACATGTCGCGAGCGTACTCAATCACGGCTACCTGCATGCCCAGGCAGACACCGAGGTAGGGGGTGCCCGCTTCGCGCGCCCACTTGGCAGCGGCCATCATTCCCTCCGTTCCGCGCTGCCCGAAGCCGCCGGGCACGAGGATCCCGGATGCTGTGCACACCTCGTGCCAAGCTTTGTGGAACCTGGCCGGGTCACTCTGCCTCGTGGCCGGCTCCAGGTGCTCTGCATCGACCCAGATCAGGTTGAGCTTCTTCCTGCAACGCATCGCAGAGTGCTCGAGGGACTTGATGACGGACAGATACGAGTCGTGAAGCTCGATGTACTTTCCGACGAGCGCGATGTTGACCGTTTCGAAGTGGTGGTCTTGCGTAACGGTCAGGTCCTTCCAGGTGTCCCAAATCTTCTCGCCCTTCTTGAGCATCGGTGCAGGGATGCTGAGAACATCGAGAGCCAGCGCCTTGCGCAGGAAGTGGATGAGCCCTTGGTCTTCCAGAAGCACCGGCACTTGGTAGATTGTGGGCATGTCGCGGACCGCGACTACCTGCTCAACATCGACTTGGCAGTGGTGCGCGATCTTCTCAATCGTGGAACGCTCGAGCGGGCGTTCGCAGCGGCACGCAATCTAAATTGAAACGTCAATAAAACGGCGCCCACGGCGGAGCGGGTGGCCACGTACCAAGTCAGGGATCAGGCCCGCGCTGCGCACGCTTTTCACAGCGTGCTGCGTCGGCTTGGTCTTCTGCTCGCCGTTGATCGTCGGGACGTACGAGACATGGATGTTCAGGAAGTTGTTCTTGCCAGCGCGGTGCCGCAGCTGGGTCAACGCCTCCACGAACGGCATGCTCTCGATGTCACCAACCGTCCCACCCAGCTCCACAATGCAGACATCCGGCTCCTCGTTTGTGTCGTCGACGGGAATCTTGGAGACGCGCTCGATCCACGCCTGGATGGCGTCGGTGATGTGCGGCACGACCTGCACCGTCTTGCCGAGATAGTCGCCGCGGCGCTCCTTCTCGATGACGTGCTGGTAGATCTTGCCGGTGGTGATGTTGTTCTCGCGCGTCAAGGTGATGTTCAGGTAGCGCTCGTAGTTGCCTAGGTCGAGGTCGACCTCGCCGCCGTCGGAGAGCACGAAGACCTCACCGTGCCTGGGACTGGTTACTGGATGCTCGCATATCGGGGCTGCAAGAACACGACATACTCCTTCGGGTTCATGGTCCCGGCGTCGACATTGAGGTATGGGTCGATCTTGATCGACGAGACGTGCACAGCCCGTCAGCATTATCCACACAACCAGAGAAGGACGCGCCTTGGCAGGCAACATATCTTCAGTCCAATCGTCTTGAGCAGCAGGCCGGTCGAAGAGGCTGCAGACGCGTCAGTCGGGGCGGTGCGCGCGCGCAAGTTGGTTCCATGAGAGCTGTCATACCGATGATGCCCTTGCCGACGCCGCTAATCACACCTGCGCGCAGCTGTCAGCGCGCGCGCCCGAAAAAAGCGGCAGGGGACAGGTCGCATACCTCCGGAGACCAGAACGTACTTCATTGTGGGTTGCTGTGAAACCAAGTGGTGCCTTTCCTGGCTGTTGCCAGGGGGAAAGAAAGAAAGGTCGAGGTGACGGCCGCAGTCGCGAAAAATATTGGTGGGGCCCTGCTAGGGCTTGGGCGCTCGCGCCGCCCAGTCAGAAAAACCCTTAAGGCCAACTCGCCAACCGGACCCTTCGCCGCCCTGCCTGCTGGACATGCGGTGATGACGCGCCTGCGGCCTGCCTGCCCGCCCGCCGGCTCCCATGAGTCTGGACCGCTAGGACACTGACAGCTACCCGATGAGACGCGATGCATGTTGGACGCTGCGATCCTGATGTGATAGCGCACAGCAGCATATGCGCGTCCAGCTCACACCTCGCCGTCCACTTTCGCTCATTCGCGTTGGAAATGCGACAAGTAGATTAGCGACTATACGAAGTACAATATGGCGACGACCACTATAAGCCCGCTGGGCCGCTTCGGATGCAACGCGCTGGAAAGCCGCGATCGTCATACACGACGCGAAGGAGCAGTAGGATTATACATGCACGCGCGCTCCCTTTGAGTTTTAATTTGTTCTGCATCCTCCTAGAGCAGGATTGGCGTCCTCGACGCCCACGTTGAAGAACCGGTGTGCTTCATCTCTGTATGAGGCGTCAGCACTCCTTGCCGAGCTCTTCCCGCCTGGCGCCAGGGAAAAAAGAAAAGAAGCGTCGAGACAACGTGTCCAAGGGAGCAAAGCAGTCACCGGAGGGCATCACTGCAGCCGTACTTCTGCTGTTCATAAATTGCAAAGTGCTGCACAAGCTGACCAGAGTTTGGATAGTCCAAGCAAGCGGCAAGGCGACAGTAGTGAAAACCATCAAGAGCGCAGCCCCCATGTAGCAAACACTCGCACGCAAAACCGCCCCATTTGCTATATGGTCATGTACAAGGTCCTGGCCTCCTACGACAATCTTCATGATTCATGCCATTCGTGCCAGTTTCGTCCGTCGTCTCAATCGTCTCTCCATCTCCCCCCTCCTCCAAATGGGATATCGTCACAATACCTGAACAGGACGCGGGAAAACAAAAGTAGGTGCCGCATATGTAGCTGCCACAATGCTACGTACCGATTCCCTTGCCGAAAGACGCGCACTCGTCAGAGGAGGATAGCTGGAAATCTTCGAACCCGTGCTGCACGCCAAATGGGAGATAGTAGAAGGGTATTCCATGCCAGCTTTAATATGACCCACAGTATGCCCGTTTATCACCAAGTATTCCCTTGTAACAGTACTCCCGATTTTAGATACCAAGAACGACCCCATCTACTCTCTGCGCCTTTTGCGCCCTGAATGCGAATCGTTGTCCCCGTGGTCGTCTTCGTCGCTGATGTGGCTGGCTCGCCTCCTCGCCAGAGCCTTCTCATTCCCCTTCTTGACCTGGATGTTGCATCCTTGCAACTTCAGCGCCCGCGTTAGCGCGCTGCTGGGCCGCATCCCCGGGAAGTCCTTGGCAGTGTAGACTGTGAATACTTCGCTCAAGACTTCGGTGAGGATGGGCATCAGTCCTCCGACATGCAGGTTCATCGGGTCGATCCGCATCAAGACGAAACGAAGGCGATATCTGCCGTGCGTGCGGCATGACAGATCGGGGAAGCAAAAGAAACAGCCTTCAACGTCGTGCTCGTCTTTGGCAACCGAGGGTGACGCGACCAGCTGGCCCATGAGGCGCCGGGTTGTTCTCCGGTCAGGCTGGATCAGTGCCGTCTCCTCGTTGGTTCCGTCGGCGTTCCAGAGTGTGCAATGCACAACATTCAACGAATATCGCAGCTCGTCCGGATCCGACTGCCCGGTTTTGGGGTCCGTCACCAGGAGCTGGATGATGGGCGGAGGGTCGATCACCCTCCGGTCACGCTCTCCAAACCCACATGCACGGGCGGCAACTGGTTGTTGCCGCACCACGAGTTTGTACTCATATTGCCTTTGAGAGGGATTAGCAGATTTGCAGTACTCAGCTGGATTGGCGGAGCGTACGTCTTGTCCGGCTGTGGCCCGCGGTAGGAAGCACTCGGAACGATGCTGGGGCCGGCGGCTACGGCAGGCGGAGGAGGAAGAGGGGGTGGAGGTCTTTGTGCGGGCGGAGGAGCCACAGGCTCGGGGTAAGTCGCAACTGCTCCGTAGCTGGACGCAGCGGACCCTCGATGCGAGTCAATGGATCCGCGGTACGAGGCGTTGCTCGGCGGATAGCTGGAAGTGTAGCTGGGGGACGGCAGCGGCTGGTAGGATTGCTGTCTCTGCGGCGGGGGTGGTGGTGGAGGATTTGCTTGAGGCGGGTACACAGGCTCCGGATGATGGATTGGACGAGGCTCCTCCGGATAGCGCGCCACCGGGCGGGGATGAGGGGCCCTGGTCTCTACCTGTGACCTCGGGGAAACTGTGCGACCATACTGCAGGGGAGGGGAGTAGGGAGGATCCGAGCGGGGCGGCGTGTACGGATTCGAGGAGAGTAGCTTGTCGACGGGAGCGGCCGAGCGGAGGGGTGGGCGGGGCGGCTCAGGTCTTGACTGGGCGGGAGCGGAGACGGTGGAGAGCGTGGAGATGGAGGGCAAAGAGCGCTGGGAGGGCGAGAAGAAGGGCGGGAAGTCAGGTCGCACGGGATCCCTCGGCACGGAGAGGGGAGGAAGCTGGACAGGCTGGGGCAGGCGGCGGTAGGGGTCAAGGTAGGGCGGCGGAGGAAAGTGCGGGAGGTTCTGCGTCTCGGTCATGGCCATTTGGGTGGTGGTCTTGGAGAGGTTTGGAGGATGTATCGGCGACGGCGCTGGAGGTCGGGACATGCGTGTTATTAGTTGTCCGCAGCAGGACAGGATGCACGAAGCCGCATTGGGAGCTCCGCTCGTCGTTGGCCGTGACCCGCAGACCAGAGTCGGTGAGCAGCGAGACAGTCGAAACAGCAGGCGACCCAAACGGTCCGGTGTGGCGGATACGGAGGTTAAAAGGCACGAGCGGGCCGCGGTGTCAAGGTTGTATCTGGATCGACATGGGCAGGCAGGCGGGCAGGCGGGCAGGCAGGCAGGCAGGCAGGCAGGCAGGCAGGAAGCTTCAGCGCGCGTCGGCTATGCTGGAGTCGAGGGCTGCTGGGATTTGTTCCAGGGATGCCAAAGCCTCACGCCAGACATTTGCGACAACCTGGGATGGCAGCGGCCGAGGCGTGGGCTTGACTCAGGCCAGGCTGCTCGATTGGCGGGGGCGCGGCGCGGCCAATGGGCCCTGGGGCGTCCTGCAGGCCGTGGGGAAGGGCTTGGGATGGGACGGCAGGCGGGCGTTCCGGCGGCAGGTCAGGATGCCGGGTTTTATCTGCGCGGCACACGGGCTAGCCGGATGCGCAAGGAGCGGTGGTGGTGATGCAGGCGCAGATGCGCATTTTCGTCGCGCATCGTCAAATAAGGCCCTTTCCCGGGTCAAACACACACTGGCGGCCCCAGGTTTTGCGGCGCGACTGTTTCGCATCGGTGGGCGCTGCAGGTGTCACGCCCCAGCAATTTGTGAGCGCGCAGTTACATGCCAGCGGCCTGCGAGGGCCCCAGCCCGCAAGGAGGCATGGCCGGCGCCAGAAACTGGAATGCGGAATGGTCAATACGGTGCCACCGTGCGCCCTCGTGCGACTCCGCTTGCCGGGCGCTGCAGGCCGGGGGGGTCTGGTAACCAGGAATCGATCTGTCAACGGTGCTGTTCCACCAGGGTCACCAGCGCCCAACTGCGCATAATTAGCCTACCGCCCAGACAGCCCGCCAAGGGGCAATTAGCTGGCAGCAGATGTTCGTTCCGGCCCAAGACTCTGCTTTCTTGCGCTTTGCCTTTGAAGCTGTAAATTCATGATTCTAGGTCGATGTATTTCGGCGTTGGTGGCAACAACGCAACGCTGGTCGAATTTCACCCTCATTGGTGGGGCAAGATGCTTGGTTGATGATGATGAAGGCCAACACCGGGCAATTATTAGCCCATCATGGGGTCCGTCCGGTTGGCTAATTATGCGTGATTCGCGTGGAACAGTGGTAGTCCCTTAGCTGCCGTTGACTGACGGCCAGATCTGCCCCACGCCGTAGCTGCTTTCGCCGCCACCCGCAGCCCCAATGCCGCTGCGCGCCCATTCGGACGGCGCTGCGTCGGTGCGACGCCTCTGTCTGCGCGTATATAACACGCCGGCGCCAGCCAGCAGAGCGCGGCGGGTGGGCGCGCGCAGGCGGGCGCAATGCTTATCCGACTAGCTGCAACTGAAGCCGCGGAGCCCGTCCGCTCTGGGCGAAGGCTGCTGCTTTCGCGTGGCCCGCCCTGCCGCTTTGGGCGCGCGGCGATAAAAAGGGATGATGGCCGGCAGGGCTGGTCACCTCGCTTCCAGCGCTCCACCGCACCAGCGAGCTTTTCGATAGCGCGGTGCGACGGGTCGTCTGTGGCGGGGATGTAAGTCTCATCCGCCAGGGAAAAGGGCTTGGCGCTGAGACGTGCGCGCCTGTGTCTTGGGCGCGCGAGACACACCCGCTCCGCCTGCTGGCTGCTGCTGGCGATGCCGCCGCCCAGGTCCGGGTGCCGTCCGGGGGCCGTCCGGGTGCCCAGCGCGGGCACTGCGGGCAGGGATGCCGGCCGCCGATCAACGCCTCTGCCGCGAGACGAGATGGCCGGCAACAAGTCGCATTTTGGTGCTGGCGCACGCTTCTCGCTTCCGCCCGTGTGCCCGTGGACGCTAAGGCGGGCCTCTCGCCAACCTCATCCATCCCTCCACACCATGCTCCGCCGTGTCCGCATGCGGCCGCCGACGGCGACCCTGCCCGCCCACCCTGCGCCCTGCTCCCTGATCACCGCCCTGGCCCCGGCACCTGCAAGGCGACGCACATCTCCGCCGCCGAGCCGTGGAGCGTCAGCCTGGATTCGTGGCCCGCGCGCGCCAGCGTGCCAGGCTCCCATGTCTTGTGCCGGGCCTTTGCGGTTTGGCTGCGCGCGCTCTGGGCCTAGGGCGTGCAGCTGTTGCCGGCGACCAGGACGCGACCCGGGAATGAGTCGAATTTCTCTCCGCTTGCGTAGCTCCTCGTAACCCGCCGCTGACCATGTTTATATCAGACAGGTCCGTTCATAGCTGTACCGGGTCGCTGGTTCCATTTCTTTTGCTCTCTGGCGTTTGCCTCCCCTTTTCTCTCGCCTGCCCGCTGCTGCCACCCGCCTCGGCTGCCCGTCGCCGGCTAAATGCTGCCCGCGCCCAGCGCCCATTGGCGTGCTGGCGTGCGGGCGTGCGGGCGTGCGGGCGTGCTGGAGAGAGCGTCCCGCGGTGCGTCACCGTAGCATCCGCTCATTTCCAGCCTGAATCTGCGCATGGTTCGGTGGATCAGCAGGCCCGCTCCCCGGCCTGGCACAGCGTTCTAGAGCAGCGCCCGCCTCTGCTGCTGCCGCCGAACAGCCGCCGAGGCAGCGACGAAGCTTGTATGACGCTGATAAGATGGGCTGGGCGAATCACCTCTGCCCACGGCGATCGACGGCCAGGCACAAGCCACAGCAGCGTGACGATGCGGGGACGCTCGCGCGGGACGTGGCGAGGCGTTCGGGCCATTTCACACTGGCGCGAGCTTGTTGCCATGAGTCGCGCCAGCCGACCCTCAGGCAGCACGCAGCACGCAGCACGCAGCACGCAGCACGAGGACCAGCAACCAGGCTTCATCGACACCCGATGCCTCCAGCGGGCCTTTGCGCAGCCTGCGGATCAGATGGCGGCAACGGCCACTCGTGCGCTAGCCTGGGTCGTGCAGCTGTCTCGGGACCTCGGGCGGCGAGACCAGTGTGCCAGTGCCCATAGGTCCTGCCCTCGACGCCTTTGGCTGCTGGTTGATGGCTGATGGCTGATGGCTGATGGCTGATGGCTGCCGGCTGACGGTTGACGGCTGTCGGCCGTCATCCATTGCTGCTTGCGGGCCTGTCGAGCCTTGGGCGACAGGCATTATTACATCAGCGCTGGAGGAATCTGCAAGCGAGCCCGGAGCCTGGGTAGATGGGGTGTGGAGCAGCACAGCTCCCTGCAGCTTTTTGGCGCTGCTCTCTTCTTGTGTGCCCGCGAAGGTTCTCCAGACGGGCGCAGCCAATGCAACCATCAGGCCACTGCTCTGAGCACGGGTTGGCTGATGGACCTGGGTTCGAGCACACCACCGCAATCTCGCAGTGGTCGTCATGGCGGGCTAGTCGGCAGCTGCCAGCTTCTTCGCCCTCGTCCCCAGCCAATCACCGCCTTCACCGCACCCCAGGAATATCACCCTGCCTTCTCGGGCAACACACGGCGGCCGCGCTGCACACTCACACCAACCCGGGCCGACTTCCTGAACGCGCGCAGATCTCCAGCGTCGAACGCGGCCAAGCGAAGCCGCTGAGCCGATCGCCCCGAAACCCCCAACGCAGAATGCAACTGACTGGACCCTTCGCCCGCGTGCAAATGACGATCGTGGACGTAAAACGGCCGAGCATGCCGTACTGGACGCAACCTGACATCAAAGCACTCAAGACGGCTTGGCACAGAAAACCCGCACCCAGCGCGCCTCAGGATCTGCGATCGCAACCCCATGCTTGGCTTTTCTTAACGCTGCGCATCGGAGAATGACAGTAGTTGGCTGGCGCCGTGTCAAACGCACGTCAGCCGCTCTGCCACCCTTGACCATCGTCCGGATTCCGGTTGTAGTGGTTGTGCCGAGGACGATGCAAGTTCGTGCTCCAGTGAGGCTATTCCCAGTTTCCCACGTTTCTGCATGCAATCCTGCCGTGGACCCACGGCACTATTGGCAAAGGGACCGCACCCACTTGTTCGACGACCTCCACTTCGCGCTGCTTCCAGGCGTCCCGCGCGATACCCACCCGGACATGATTGAACAATGTCTCGGAGCGTCTGCCACAACGGGAAATGTTCAAATACAACCCACGGAGATCGTCCGCACGGCGCGAAGTCCTAGCCGACGGTTAGACCGCCCGCTCGCGTTAGGTACCATAAAGATGGTGAGTTGTGGGCCGGTACAAGCGCCTGTGCCGTCACCGATACTACTCTACAGAAGATTTCAACGCGGAGGCGCCGAGCCCCGTGACTCCTTCTAGCGTTCAGGGCCCGCATAGACTCGGGCTGGACCATCTAACACAGCGGGCGCCAAAGAGATGCTACATCAGGCCTCCAACATGAACTGAGATGGTCGTGAGTTGATCCCACAATCTAATCCCCCCACAGACCAGCTGTTGCCCCGGCCTTCGATCTGGAAGTCTTTGTTGCCAACCGCGTCACGCAGTCACTTATTTCCGCATGCCGACCACCACAGACGCGGCATTCGAGAAGAAGTATCACCTTTGTCCCATGTGGCAATGGGTGGTACTGATGATCCTTCAAAAGGTTATTTGATCTCCACGACCCAGCTCCTCATTAGCATCGCCGAGCCGATCACGCGGACCGGATGCCCCACCTACCTAGCTACCACTGTCGTAGTCCGTAGAGCATGCGGCACTCTCATGCACACATTGTTCCGCTACTATTCTCGGCTTTGACACGAGGACATCGAGTCTGTGACCATGAACAGGCACACTGACATCACATGCGTCTGGAACGTACCCCCTCATACGTTCTGCTACAGCCGGTTGCAAAAGGACAGATAATTTCCAGAAGAAATCACATGGGCAGGAGCTGATGCCTACGTCTAGGTGCATATGTGGTATACGTATACATACGCTCGGCTGCCTACTTCAACTGCCACGCAAGCTCAGAGAACTCACATTTACGTCCAGACAATTGCTTCAGTTGCCTACGTAGGAAGAAGGCAATGTTCTTTGTGAAGGGATAAAAAGACTGGTCTTTCCATCCACTTTACCGTGACTCGACTGTCAATGTTTGACGAAGTACACACTTACCAAATGGTGCGACCAGTGCCTCTCTCTCGTTGATGAGAGCCTTTGCTGTTTTACGCTAACGCAAGTCTAAATGCAAGTAAGCACGATCTTAGCCATCAATGTGCAGACGGTAAGTATCATTATTATTTCCGATGTCTTCACGATGGCTGGAGAGTGCGATGCAGAATTGTCGGAGGCTGCTTCATTTACTGTTCATCGACCGCCTTCTCCACCACGAAGCAGCCTTTCCGTGTACATCCTATGACCTGCCTTTTCTATCATGTCTCGCTATGCGTGTGTTTGCTCATCTCTCTTTTGCAACCAACTTCCCCACGTCTCGTTCGCGAGAAAGCGCCAAGTGCTGCACGCAAATTAGTCGCTCGTCACCGTTGAGTCCTTCAGTATTGTCGCACTGCGTCTATGCGAAAACTTTCGGCCGCACTTAGTACTGGCCTCACATCAGACATGGGATAAGAACTTTGCGCCGTCACAACCACTCAGACCATCTCATCTCAGACCGTATAAAGCTAAAATAACTCATGTTTTCCCTGCGACCCGGCAGTTACCATCGGCTTGTCGTTGTCTTTGTCGCGGAATTGTCGCAGTCGCTTTGGCCACATCTCGAATCAAGCCCCTTTTACTGGACGAGCCAAGTGGGTGGAGACGTTATATAGGCCAAGAACACTGAGAACCCCCGTCAGCAATGCTTTGACGCAGAAGGAATTAAGCCACTTATGTACGGAGCGGCAGCGCTGTGCAGACGGAGGATCAGCCTACCCGCCAGAGCGGGTCTTGTTAGCCGGGCACTCCTCATTTGAAACACCCATAGGTGCTGTGGAGACCCGAGCACACCAGAAGCACTCCACACGGTTTGCGCACGCCTCGCACACCCGAATACCCGGCGGCAGGGCCCAAATGAGAACAGGGGAAGCGGGAGCGGGAGTATCGGCGTCCAGAACGAATCGTCAACTACCCGAGAAGCAACATCATTACTCGATGATTCGGTTTCGCGGCCGTAAAGCTTGCTTGCCTTGGTCCACGGCTATGGTCGGCCACGTCTTGATAAGGAAGGTAACTAATTACATGTTATTCCCATAGGGACGGGAGTCCGAGCACGTCGCTGTAACCATTGCTGCGAAGAATTCAGGCTATAGCAAGCTCCAGTGTTCATGCGCTTGATGGCCGATGCCAAGCGATCATATGCACAGAATATTGGGCTGCTTGCGGCCACTTTTTCATGCTCTGCCTGCGCCTTCACGTCAGTCGGCGGCAACATCTCCTTTCAATGCGGGCCGCGGTGATGCATATTTACAGGTTTTGCTCCTTCCCCGTCAAATCTGAGGCGACATCTCTACCGCAGTCTGTAGCAGGTGCTGCTGCCACCGTTTCATTCGATGGATCATGGCGCCGGGCGGACAGCAGCATCCGTTCGATTCGCCCGGCCCCTGGCTTACCGACAAAACTTTCGCTCTGTGGCATAGGCATGTCATCCACAATAATGCTGTCGGTCATACACACAGACCTCGCAGCTTATTGTGAGCAGTCCCATGCATGGTTCGGCTCGGATGCGTGACTCCTCGGATTTGGTAACAGGCCGTACAGCTTCACTCGCTTACAACAGAGTGAAAATCGAGGGAATACGGACAGGCCAACCGGCATTTTGCGCAATTGATTGTCTCGATTTTCACCGCGCCAACTCTGCTGACTCGCACGACGGCGTCTGGGCTCATTGACATCTCGTCATTGCAGTCATGGCGATCAGAGCCGAATCAGATACCCGAGCAAGTTCGCATATTTATATCGGCTCGGCTCGATGCTGCCGCAGCCACCTTGCCCTCAAGGGGCACCGAGTGGGAACGCCCTGCATGTTGGACCCCTTTTGCGGGAACACATACCCACAGTTGCTCAACGGCCGTGGAAAATTCCATTCAGAACAGAAAAAGTATAGTCTCTATACTTGGTCCGGAACATCTGTCCGAGACAGTTACGACCCACCACACAGTTGCCGCACGGGGCCCACATGCATTAGCCCGGCTGCTGCAGCATCAAATCACTCACATGGTGGACGGTACAAAGCCGATTGATTGATGGGCCAACGGGCTATTATAGACAGGTGGTGGGTCACAGCGACAGCCGGATACCTCGTTTCTCCTGCCATGAACTCTTGACAGCCAACCAGCTGCTTGCCTCTCGTCACTGGCTCAGAGCTCGAGTCCCGATTCAGCCGTCGTGTCTGCAAAAGACCACAGAAGTCTCCCTATTTGTGAACACCCTCTGCAGCTCCGTTCTGCCACCCTGCCGAAATCGCTCGCTCTTATCGACGAATACGCTACAGCCGGTCTCTTGCACGGTCGCCTCCCCCGTCTCGACTCACATGCTTCATTCCACGCTTCTGTTTTCCACTGCATGTCTCATCTAATACCTGACTCTGACCCTTACCCTTCCCAAGCTGCCGGTTCTCCCGTCAGCGGCGAGACCAAGCCGCTCCCCATCACCTGTCATTGACCGTCGCCAAGTCACGTATACTCCGCGGAGTATCTCTCTTTTCTTTCCTATGTCACATATTGTTTCCTCCCCCCCTGCTAAGATAAAAAAAAAATCGCAAGATTACCACCGGCCCAACCCTGCGCGTCTAACTTCCTGAATATTTTTTTTTCTCATTCTTCCCACCCACGAACCCCAGTCGTCCAGGGTGCCGAGCCGCCCGCTCTCACTCACTCACTCTGACATACATGCGTACTCACTCCCCTGCCCGAAACCCGTCCGTCCCTTCCACACACCAGCCTGCCGAAAAAGCATGCATGCACTCATGCAGCACCTAGCGCGTCGTCCCTCCCACCCTCCCCTCCCCTCCTCTACCGAACGACTGGCTCAGCCCCTCCCCCTCCCCCTCCCCCCCTCCACCCTTGTCTCCGCACCACGGGCGCGCACACCCATGCCATATCACCCTTCCATGCTATGCTACGAGGTGTGCACACACGTCACACACACACGGAAAGCACTTGATTGAGGCAAAAAGAGGTACGCCACCGCCTCTCTTTCTCGCTTCGCTTCACATCGCCAGTCACGGCACGTCACGCCGAGACAGAGAGAGAAAGAGAAAGGGGGGGAGGATAGGGACGTCGTCATCTCGAGTCGCTGTGCGGTGTCGCAGCGCAGCGTGGCGTGGCGAGGCGTGGCGAGGCGTGGCGAGGCGTGGCGAGGCGTGGCGCCGGCACAGGGACGACGACGGCGGCGGTAAGACGG